CTATGTGTAGATTTTTTTTGATCAAGGCTAGTTGGAATCCTATATGCCTCACTTATCTGTATGTCAAGTTCTTTTCCCCTACTTGGGAAGTTTTCTGCTTTCACTTCTGTGAAGAGTTTTTTTATTTGTCTGCACTCTCTCCTGTTTCTTCATTCCCTCCGATCAGTCTTATGTCATTCTTCTTTGCATCATCTAGCAGCTGCTGGATTGATTTCTTATGTTCCCTCACAATTTTTAAGAAATTTTTCTTTTCCTGGTCACTAATTGCAATCTTATATTTTTTATCTGAAATTCTGTCCTCACAATGGCTCATTCTGCTTTCTAGACTTTCAGTGGAGTTTTTAATCTCCTGGAAATCTGTTTTATGGATTCCATTTGTTTCCCATTTTGAAATTCCATCATTTACCTCGGCTCCTCTCTAGATTTATTAATCATGTCTTTCACTGTGAGCACAATCTCTGCTGTTATCTGAGAAATTATTTCTGATTTCTCTTTTTCGAGATCCTCTTTTGTTGCCAGTTCATGGAGTCCAGGTGATTGAGTATCATTGTTCCATGTCATTTCCCTTTGGGTGTGCTTTAGGTGATCTGGAAGTCTGGTTTTGAGACTTGTTTTTGTGTCTTATCATTTTCATGAGTGTGAGGGCAGGGGTGTGTGTGTGCTGTTGGTGCTTGTGTGGCTCACCTCCTCTGAGCTGGGAGCAGTGGTATGGCAGCCTGGAAGCCCCTACCTCTGTGCTGGGAGTGGTGGTACAGTGGCCTGGAAGCCTCTTCCTGTGTGCTGGGAGCAGTGGTATGGTGGCCCAGAAGTCCCTTCCTCTGTGCTGGGAGTGGTGGTATGGTAGCCCGGAAGCCTGAGTTGTGATTTCTTTTGTCTCCAAATATTCTTTGAATAGTTTTGTTCTTTGTCTCTGTTTTAAGCAATTTGATTATGATGTGTCTTGATATAATCTTCCTCATGTTTCTTGTGCTTGGGGTTCATGGAGCCTTTTAAATCTGTGAATTTATGATATTCATCAAATTTAGGAAAGTTTTTTTTTTTTTTTTAATTTAGGAAATTTTTGACCATTATTTCCTCAAATACTTTTTGTTTCTCTGTTCCCCTTTGGGGACTCCAAGTACATATGAAAGATTGTGTGATAGTGTCCATAGTATGATGCTGCTCTGTTCACTTTTTTCACTGGTTTTTTTCCTTCTTTCATTGTGTATGATTTCTATTGCTGTGTCATCAGATTTAGTAATCTTCCATAATATTACATGTGCTATTAATCTCTTCCAGTGAAAGTTATATACATATATTTATATATTTTATAAAATTTTATATTTATTAAATATATATTACATGTATCTATCAATATACTCAATCCTTCCTACTTCCTGAATATAATTATAACTACAGCATTTAATGTATTTCTTCTGATTTTATCATGTATGTCATTTCTAAGTCAGTTTAAATTGACTAAATTGTCCTCTTCATTATTTTCCTGCTTTATATACTTGTTGATTTTTTTATTGGATGTTAGAGATTGTGAATTTTATTATTTTTGGTGTTGCATTTTTTATATTCTAAGTATTCTTGAGGTTTATTTTAGGCATATACAGTAGTTAAGTCACTGGTAAACACTTTGGTACTTTCAAAGCTTGCTATAATTTCTGTTAGGTGGTACAATCTTGATTATTCTAGAACTAATTTTTCCCTGCTACTGAGGTATGACCCTGCTGCGTACACATACTCTACCTAAAGTTCCATGAATTATGAGGTTTTTCATTCTGGCTAGTCTGTTCCTGGACATGTTCTCTCTGTTCTTTTTGTGTGGTTCTTTTCACAGCTTTGGAAAAAGACCATGTGCTGATTAATACTCTGCTAAGACTTGAAGTAAATCTGGAGTTTTCCCTCTTTGACACTGTCATGTGAATTTTAGTTGTCCTGGCTTTGTTGGACTCCCAATTCCACTTCCTCAAATTCATGGAGGCTTCTGGGGTCTGCGTGGATTCTCCTTCCCTGCCTGTGGTTTAGAAATTTTCTCCAGATAGGAAGCTAGGATAATCACAGGGTTTCTCTCCCTCCCTCCCTCCACCTCCCCCCACCCACTCTGATCACTATGTAGTCTGATATCCAATGTGTGAACATTGTTTTAGATATTTTGTCCAGTTCTTAGTTGTTTTCAGCAGAAGGATAAATCTAATCTGTTACTCCAGCATGGATACAAGTGGAAATCCCAGTCTAGAAGAGTTTGAATGCAAAGGAAACCATTACCTGTGATTGTCTTTTTGTGTGTATTGCTTATCCTTTTCATATAGGTCAGATATGCCCCTTTTACTCTATTAAATGCAAACAAATATCTAGTCTTTTCATTAAAGCCATCTTAAGGAAATTGCTGCCCAATTGATTATTTTAATACAGATCATTTAGTCTGGCTATGCTAAGGTTTCTTGTGAATCTAAATATTCTCCAGATCTATATGATTGTTCTTAGTAATTATAAACTTTGTTTTATAGGTTTTATGCTATAATTTTGATCAACTTACATATTTAAAATTGGCATCAATTTATATTATAACCACTGTTAATGCAACTTTTCCTTTCAAAGAGTTCGCTTACCATTTCATGTACCAATGATCTTATAGTGCTGCCAATGAAAAAATATGGCTCAGTTCAAAATCTTATGTGTGTGTTAGACTTTTGCAGATACTTTTGTAATTCTAAAATGGCCTGCATTTCAATGAATCAGGATTGTGAGTATAGGAAGAGAGGCTGTTAACCTCCTATTTCTGCTTTAAAGCTTACTGATTGAATACAGAAATTGTATTAACAGTAGTTATAAGAACAGAAATGGATCTCAAAATATTAATCACAAAAACCTAGCAGCAGAGGTTAGAATGGGGATATAGGAGTTAGTCTGTGCCTGACAGCAACACATATGAAGAAGACTTGCATTTTAGTTACCTGAATCTTTTTGACTGAATAGGTGACTTGACTGTTTTAATACCTAAAGAGATCTTAATATGCCTCAAAAGAAACGGCAAATGTGAAAGAGGCATTTCATCCATGCCTTCTCACCAGAATACCCAGTTAGCCAGTGAGTCCCACTGTTTACCTCTCCTAGGTGTTTTCACATCTTTTTTCTTGTTCCCTTTTTCGTCTCCATTCTGAGCCTCACATCTACTCCTATAAACAGAAGTCGGTATATGACAGCTTGTGAGCTAAATCTGGCTGCTGCACATTTTTGTATGGCCCATAAGCTGTACATTTTCAAATCTTTGAAAAAAGTGTAAAAGAGTAATATTTCATGACATGTGAAAGTTATATGAAACTCAAATTTCCAAGTCCATAAATAAAGTGTTGTTGTCTTGTTTATGGCTCCTTTCGTGCTGTGGCAGCAGAGCTGAGTAGTTGTGAAAGAGATTGTATGTCCTGCAAAGCTCATAATATTTACTCTTGGGTTTGGCCTTCATAGAAAAATTTTGCTGATCCCTGCTATACATTACCATTAGAGTATTCATTGAGAAATGCAAAACTGGTAATACTGTATAACTTCCTGTCTCCCAATTTGATAGCTTAAAAGTCTCCAGTGACTTGTTGCATATGGGAAAAGAAATCCATACGCTTTAGCATGATATCCAAGACCCTTTACAAGCTGGCACCAACCTGTTCTTAGCTTCACCCCTCACCACTCTACTCTTCCTTACTCTACTGAGCTTCCAGTGCTCCTGAGATGTTCGTCATTCTTTTAACCAGTGCTGTTTCAAGTTTTACAGTCCATTCCATGTACTCTGCCTTTTCTTTTACATTCTCTACCTGTAAATCTCTGTTCAGATATTGGCCCTGGCTTTAATGTCTCTCCTCAGTGAGCGTTCTTTAGGCAGAGGCTGCTCCTCCTCCATAATCCCATGGCATTTTGGGTCATTAGCATTTGGCACATGATATTGTCATTGTGACTATACTGTGAGTTTCTTGAGGGTAAAGGCTATGTTGCATACTTCTTTGTTCCTCTAGTATACAGGACCGTATCTTGCAGATACTGTCATTTTTAAATGAATAAATTAGTGCTAAGATTGTGATCATATATGTAATATATAACACTTTGAAGATTCTCAGATATATGATTTTTTTTCTCACTTTTAAATATATAATGTCAGAAAATGTACCTTGTGATGGAACTTTGTGAGGATGGAGAACTCAAAGAAATTTTGGATAGGAAAAGGCATTTCTCAGAGAATGAGACGAGGTGGATCATTCAAAGTCTTGCATCAGCTATTGTATATCTTCACAATAAGGGTAAGAAAGGACCATCACACTAACTGATTCTATGAATGCAGATAGCACTTTTGTTTAAAGGTAATTGTGTTTAGGAGTCATAGTTATATAAATAGTACTTGGTAATAAAGAAGATTTATTTATTATTTATTTTATATTTTCCTTTTATTTTTAGATATATTTTAATTAGAAACAAGGCAGGTATAAAGTTACATTGTATATGGACAAGTTGTGAACATTTTTACTGGAAGTTTGAAAAGCAGCTAATAGTATTAAATCAAAATTAGACAAATAACATTTATACTCTTTGTTTGGAGTTGGTACAAACATGTAATAATAAAAATAAAAATTCAAAAATAACAGAAATCAGAACAAGATTCTCCTTTTGCTCCCTCACATATTGATACGCAGCTTTTCCCATTACAGAATTCTTGGACCCAGCGGTCTCCTCCTTAAAAATCCTGCTTATGTTTTTCCATTATCTTCTATAGTGTTTAGGATTGGGGGAAGTTGACAACATTCTTATTTCTTTTGTAAGGAGCTTTTTAAATTTTGTTTGTTCATTTGTTTCTTAAATTGCATAGTAGATCCTCTTTCTGTGTTTGAAATTAAGACATTTCTAGGTGTTAATCCTAATTTTTTAAAGTTTTCTTTAGAATATAGTAATTGAACCCAGTCTCCAAACCAGTCTCCAGACTTTAAAGAAATGGCAAGTTTTCTTTAACTTGATTATTATTCCCAATAAATTCACTTTCTATTTAAGTTAAAAATTAGACAAATAAATAATAAAGGTGAAAACACTTGGATATTAACAGTATTAAAATATAAATCTAGGACAATGATGGAAAACTTCTTGACCTTTTAGAGCTTTCAATGGTACAAGTAGCCTGCTGTGGTACATGTACCATATGTTTGCCACCAATAGTCTAGACATTTTTTGTTTTTAGTAATTTTATACTTTATTTTTTAAAGAAGTTTTATGTTCACAGCAAAATTGAGCAGAAAATACAAGCTTTCTCTATACTGCCTGTTCGACCATATGCAGAGCCTTCCCCACTATCAAAGTTGCACACCAGAGTGGTACATTTATTGTTACTGATGAACCCACATTCATACATCACTATCACCCAAAGTCCATGGTTTACATTAGGATTCACTCTTGGTGATAAATATTCAATGGGTTTTTGACAAATATATGATGACATTTATCTACCATTATGGTATCATACAGAGTAGTTTCACAGTACTCTAAAATCCACATTTACAATTGATTCTATTATTCTAATATCTTTACTATTCTGGACTAACTGCTATTGGCTTTTTTCTTCAGATTATTTTGGATTACATGTGACTTTAGGATTTTCTCACTTTACAGATGAGGGAAATTTTTGTTCCAGAAAGGTACTGTGACATAGTTTGATGTGGCAGAGCTGGTACTGGAACCCTGTGGTTCCTTCAGCAGATACTTGCTAAGTACCTACTGCACTGTGACTGGTTCTTGAATTACAAAGATCAAACTATAAGGTCCTCACTCCTGAAGGAATTCAAGCTAATGAGTATGAAAAACAACTTCTAATCCAATATGCTAATTTCTCTAATGGAGAACCATCTAAAGTGTAAGGAGCACAGTGTTATAAGTACTCAGTTGATTTGCAAAGTCAGGAAAAATAATCAGAGGAAGTAATATTTGATCGGAAGAATACAAACACAGTGAAAAAAAGGGAGGGCTTTCTAGTCAGAAGGAAATAATTTTTGCAAAGGCTTAATATTGTGCTCATTAAATCCATAGTAAACTATCAATTTAGTATAATTCCAAACAACATCTTAATAGCATTTCCATGGAACTTTGATAAGAGTATTCTAAAATGGGTTAGAATAGCCAGACAACAGTGAAAAAGAACAACAGTGGAAGGAGCGGAGGTCTTGCTCTGCCTAGGATCAAAGCATATTATAAAGATGTATTAATTGAAATGTATGGAATTTATGTATGAAAAGAAGCAGAGCAATAGATGCAGTAATTCTAAAAACGAACCCTAGAATTGAGTAAGGAAACTATAAATTATTAGATATAATTGTCAGTCCAAAGCTCATTCAGCTAACTTTTCTAACTTATCTAGAGATAAGATTGCTAGGCATATGAACTGAATCGCGTTTGGCACATGATTATTTGCATGAACATCAAAATCTTACCTTAGCTTTTGCCTTGTTCAACTGGAGATTTTATGTGTTAGGATTTAGAAAAAAATTTTTTAACATATAAACAATAGGAAAATGTATGCTGATATTATAGAAAAATATACTGAAACATAGTTTGTATATATGTAGTCAAATTATGTTATAATTCTTATGTTAACAGTAACATATGCATAGAAGTAAAGAACTAATCCCCCTTTTGAAGTACTGAGGATCTGGGAAACCTTACTAGGCTCCTGACTAAGACCACCTCCTTCCTCCTGGGAACGCCCAGCCATGGCCAGGCTCCTCCTCCACACCATCAGGCCGCTCTTCACGGAGAGCATTGGTTGGGCCATAAGGGAAAGGGGGAAATGAGGGAGGCAAAGAAAATGGCTCCTTAAGGTTAGAAATGCAGGAAAGAGTGTTTAAGAGAACAGAACAAGGAAGAATTAATGCTTGGTCCCACTCAAATTTTTCAGCAGCAAGTATTAATCTGTTAAATATATTTACTATCCTATTTTTGTCCCCTTTATTTTCCATTACTCATTTCATTTGATTTATTGTTTATTTTCTTGGTAGATATAGTACATAGAGATCTAAAACTGGAAAACATAATGGTTAAAAGCAGCTTTATTGATGCAAACAATGAAATGAACTTAAATATAAAGGTAAGATATTAGAAATGATGGTAAATATTTGTCTTTACACAGTTTAATGGCAAAGTAGCAAAATGTATCTTTTTAGATACATTTTGGTGGATTTTGAGCAGGCAGAAAATGAGTGGTTTGTGCTAAAAATAAAAATGTCACAAAGGATGTTTTAACTGACAAAAATAATTTTACACGTTAAGTGGTGCAACTGAATGTATTTTTTAAAGTACGTATTCATTTGGATGGTTCTAAATCATTAGTTAATAGCAAGCAAACAGATGCTCTGAATTCTAATTAATTTCAAAATTATGCCTGGTAATTTAATGTAAATGTGTTACAGATTTAGAGAAAAACACACCTTGGCTGTGCTTTTGCTAATTAATGCTACAGTCTGTATTTCTCATTGAAAATTTTCCTGGGTATTAATATTTATGTCTTAAGCACAATTAATGTGCCAAGTGTTTATTCTTGAAGATTTTATTCAAATTAACTGTTCCTTAATGTCTAATAAATGATAGGAGTCATTATTTATTATTCAGCACTTTAATAATGACTGCTTTCAAAATATGTGAATGTGTTAATTTTGGAATGAAATGTTGCCGGTTAATAATTTCCTGTTGCAGAAGCTGAGTCATGATGTAATGTAAACAGGCTCAAGAGCATTGTTGGTTCACACAAGTGAATGTCCTTGAGTAGGTCCATGGTAAACTCCATGAGGAGAGGAATCGTGTTTGTCTTATTCACTCTTGGGACCTGGAGTAGTGCTTGAGACATAGAATATCCTTAATTAATATTTGCCAAGTGAAGAAATCGAGTGATCTCCAAAGAATTAAATTGGATTGTGAAACTTTTTGTATATTTGATATCAGTATAGATTTTCTGTAGAGAAATATATGCATCATAATGCTTCAAGTGGGATATTATGAAAAATCATGGAGAAATTGATCCATCTATTTAGAAAAATATTGATATCACACGTTAGCTAGGAACATTTTCTGATACTATAAGATATCAGAAATTTTGCAGTCAGTGTGGACCCAGAGACTGTATTTGTTTGTAGGATCAATAAATGTGCCTGTATTCCTGCTTTCAGCCCAAGGGTGTTCTACCTTGGGAGAGACAACCAAGGGCACACTCTAAATATTTAATAACCAAGTGTTTAATTACCAAGATTTAAAATGGAGCAGAGAGGCTGCAGTTGCAGCAGCAGACCTCCAGTGTATTTGTACTTATACTGTGGAATTGTGGGGTTTTTCTTGTTAACTTGCTTCTCATAGTTTTTAATAGTGAAGTAATTGTTTTAATTAGTGTGCTGTAGGATCACAAAGGAAATAACAGTCAAAAACAGATAGTATTTACCAATTACAAATAATTATTAAAAAAAAGAGGAGTTTCAGTGAGTACTGATAAAGGATAATTATTTTACATTTATAATGGCTCTTTAAACTGGAACATAACTTGAATATCAGAAAAATAGATAATAAACACACTAAGGTTAGAATACATTTTGTAATGAAAGAATTTTTTAAAAAAATTTTATGTAAAAAATGGTAAATGCCTTCTTTCAAGATACAACTTCCTATTTTGAATGGATGAATTTAATTAGAGGGCATGAACAGTCTACAAGCAAGGGTGTTCTCTCAAGATTTGAGAAGCCAAGCTTCTCTGTATTGAGTTTCTTCTCCACACAGAGAGGGAGTAGGGAGGGAAAGTCAAGGTTCTTGCTTGTAACACAAGGAAAGTCCCCATTCCAAGAACATCTGAGTAAATGCAGTTGCAATGGGTGACAGTTCTGTCTTCAGAATGACTGAGCTCAGGACAGGAAAATGGGTGACTGCATTTCTTCCCCTAGGTGACTGATTTTGGCTTAGCAGTGCAGAAGCATGGTAGGAGTGAAGCCATGCTGCAGGCCACCTGTGGGACTCCTATCTATATGGGTAAGTTAATATACTTAAAAAGATTGTTTTGTATGTATTAAAAAAAGTCAAACTAATAAAGTATTATAATTGAACAATTTGATTTTGCCATTATGACTTAATGGCTGTTGATGAGTTTTTTTTTTTTAACTTAGGTCAAATAATTTCAGTTGTTTTAGCATTTTTCTATGGTTCCTACTTTCAAGGATTTTTGTAAATTTTGTTGTTTCTCAAGGCTCGTCTTAGGTTATTTATAATTCTTAGGTGATCATACCCCAAACATTGTTTTAGTTGAATCATTCCAAAGTCATGTGTGTATTTTGGTTCTTTTCAATTTTTATTTAATTTCATTGTCATCAAACAGTTTTCATAAAGACTGCTGATTAAATATATTTTATAAACCACTATATTACATTTTTCTAAAAATGACTTTTAGAAGCTTTTATTAAAGTTTATTTAAATACTATAAAAGATGTTCAATTCACTGATTTTTTTCATATAATTACAGAGGTGTACAACCATTACCACAATCCAGTTTTAAAATAATCTTAGCCTAAAAAGTTCCCTCATGCTCATTTGTACTCAATCTCATTCCTATCCCAGCCCCAAGGAGCCATTAATCTTTCTAGATTTGCCTTTTTTTGAGTTTTGAAGGAGGTTTTGTTGTTGTTGTTGTTTTGGCCTCATTAGATTTTCCTCTTTTTTTGACATTTCTTATAGATGGAATCTTACAATATGTAGTCTTTTATGTCTGGCTTACTATCACTTAGCATAATGCTTTTGAGGTATATTCATGTTGCAGCATTTATCTGTAGTTTGTTCCTTTATATTTCTGAATAGTTATCCATTTTGTGAATATGCTTTATTTTATTTATCCACTTATTGTCTGATGGACATGTGGATTGTCTCCAGTTTGGGACTATTGTAAAAAATGCTGCTGTGAACATTTGTGCACAAGTCTTTGTGTGGATATGTGGTTTCATTTTTCTTGGGTAGCTATTTAAGAGTGAAATTGTTGAGTCATATGTTTAGTAAGTACAGTAGTAAACCTATATTTAAGTTTTTAAGGAACTATCAAGCTTATTTTCCAAAGTAACTGTTAACCATTCCATCAACAATATGTTCAGGTTCCAATTTTTTTACATTCTTGCAAAATGAGGGTTCCATTTTCTTCACATCCTTGATATTAACTGTCTTTTTAACTTCCTCAGTGAATGCATATTTATTGTACTTATTGAAATTATATTTCTCTTTAAATTTATTAATAAAATAATTACATTAATAGAGTTTTAAGTGTTAAGCCATCCTTAAATTTTTGGATTAAACCCCAGGTGGTTTAATATACTGCTTTATTCAGTTCACAACCACTTTATTTAGGAGCTTTGACTATAGTTTTCTTTGTTTTGTGCTGCCCTTGTCTTTTTCAATGTTAGAGTTATATTAACCTCATTTAAAGTTTTCAAAAATTTCACTATATGCTCATGAACCTTTAAATAATAGCTATTACCTATTGTTTGACATTTTTCCTTAAAATTTTTGGTCCCTTTACCCTTTGGAGGGTATGTTTCTGTTTTATTTAGATTATTCAGGTTTTCTACATCAATAATTCTGATAATTTGTTTCTCTAGAAAGTATCCATTTCATTGAGATTTTACATTTTGGGGGCATAAATATTCATATTGTATTTATTTATATTTTTTAAGATTTTTCTGTATGTCCTGGTTATAGCCTGGTTATAGTTATTAATTCCTAATATTTTGTAAGAAGTTAATATGATGTAGCATTAACAATATAGCCTCTGAAGTCACCTGGGCAACCTAGAAGTCGAGCTCTGTCTGTAGTTACTATATGGTTTTGTCAGTTTCTATTTCTGTATAATGGGGATTAAGTCATTCATTTATCAAAAATTTTGAGGATCTATGTTATGCCCAACACTTTTGTAGGTTTTGGAATACAATAGTTAATGAAACATAACAATATTTTGCCTTCATGGAGCTTAATATTCTAGTGGTATAAATAGTAAACAAGATAAAAGAATAAAATGTCTAATGTTAAAAAAACCTGCTGAGGACAAAAAATAAAACAAAGAAGAGGACATGAAATACTTATGATGATAATATCTTTCTTATTGGTTGATGAGAATTAAATTGAGAAAAAAATGTGTGTATAGGGCTTAACACAGTGCCTGGTACTTAGTGATCAATTTTAGTTCTTGTAATAATACTAACAATTTTTTAAATCCAATTTGCTACTTGTTAAGACAATTTATAGGCCTTTTCAATAACCAGCTCAATTTTCAGTTTTCTTATGTTCTTATGAATGCAATCTAAGGCTGTGTATATATCTATGAGCCTTTCTTTGACTTTCCTTTGCCATATAGTGTTCTAATTCTTGTTTATCTCTTACTACATTATAATTTTAGTTTTAGTCTTTTTTAATCCAGTAATTAATTCGAAGTAAATTTAGAATTTTTCCAGGTGATTGGGATGTGTTTGGTATGCAAATGCACGAGTGCTGGTTTTCCTAGCCTGCTTCCATTCACCTTTAAGAAATAGTTACTAAAATCATGTACCATCATAGGGCTTTATGTAAATGTAATTTACATAAAATAAAATGTACACATATTAAATGTAGTGTTCAGTGGGTTTGATAAATATATACACTTATGTGATCACCACCCCAGTGAAAATAAAGAGCATTTTTATCAGCACAGAAAATTCCTTTTTGACCCTTTCAGTCAATTCCGTGCACGGGTCCTAGTAACTACTGATGATTTCTATCACCAAACTCAGTTTTGCTTCTCTGGAAGGTTATATAAATTGAACCATACAGCATATACTCTTTTGTGTCTATGTTCTTTTTCTGTCCCACATAATGATTTTAAGACTTTATGCAAGTTGTCATATAAGTAGTGTATTCATTTTTATTGCTGAAGAGTATACATAGTTCTTTTTTTTTTTTTGCCTAGTTGATGGATAAAGTTTTTAAATTGTGTTATCTTATTTGGGAAAAGGCTACTTTAGATTCTGTTCATATCTTCTTGTTGGCAAAAGACATCTGGTCTGTAGTTACATGGGGAAAATATATCCAAGCACTCTGAGTTTTATGCCTGCTTATTAGTTGTCTACACTGATAACAAGTGAGAGAACAAGAGAGAAGACAGATGGTTTGTGGAGCTTTGCTGACTTCCTAAATGGCTCCTTGGCACAGTTATTCTGGCTTCTGCCTCCCTGAGGGCTGGGATGACAGTGCAAGTAGAAATGCCCCTGATAATTAAGAACACTCTGAAAAAGTGCAGACCGGGAATTCCTGGCCCCTGCTGTGTGATGCATCAATATGGCAAGGTTTCATTGATTCTAATCACAGAATTTACCCTTGTGATAGACACTAGGCCATGAAATAGCCTGCACTTTAATGATTCAATATTTAAAGATTTTTTAGTGGAGTTAAAGAATACAAGTATAGCGGTTATTTAAAGGAAACTATTAATTAGAAAATTTTCAATTGTTTGGAGACAAATTGTTGTTAATTATAGCTTAGTCTTTTCTTACGCTTATCCTTTGACTTCTTTTTGTTGCCTCTTTATTCCTTTAACAGGTACAGAAAAAAGGGGGAAATAAAATTATATTTGCCTTTTCTAGTTATTATAAAAAGGGGGTGTGTGTACATGTGGGGGGATTGAAACTTTTTTTAAAAAGATAAATGCATACATTTTTCATGGGAGGTATCCTGTAGCTGTGTGACTTTAGGCAGTCACTTAATATATATCAAACTTAAGGGCCAGGGATTTAGCCGCCTAAATGGTTCTGCCACCTGCTTCGCAAGTGCGCAGTCCCAAGTTTGATCCCCGGTAACCCCCCCAAATATATAATATTTATATAAACTTAGTTTTTTTAATGACAGAGGTAGTCAAATGCCTATGTACCCAACTTACAGGGTTACTAAATTCATACAAATAAAAATTTATGTAAAAGTACTTTGGGAATTTTAAAGTTCTATTGAAATATGTACATATACTTTGTTTATAACTGTTTTCTTCTTTATAAAGAAAGATATCTGATCCTTAGTTATAAAAGTAATAGGCATGTTTTTACAGTATCTTATGTGACTTTTAAAAAAAAGTTAGCCATTGTGAAAAGATCTAATCTTTACAAAATGTGCTACCTTAAAGTTGAAAGAATGGTGCCCCATTGAGAAGGTTGTTTCTGGGAACCCTATTATGAATACTTTCATAAATCAAGGAGCTCAGAGGGGAGCACAAACACTTGGGACCTAGTCCCACCCCATTTCTTGGCTTTTTGATCTGGTCTTGTCAAGGCTCTCTCTCTGTCTTGGAGTTTTCATTTAGAAAATGTGGAAAATAATTTCTATTCTGCCAAAGGAGTGTTGTGATGTTATTATTATTATTCTTTCACTAAAGAAATATATAACCATTTATCTTAGTTTCTCTGTGAATTCAGATTTTTACATGTTGGGCTTGTTTTAAGTTACATCTACTTAAGGCATATATTCAATTCTATTTGGGGAAAAGGGCTGAGATATTGTCTTCTACTATAACTACATAATCTTTGCAAAATCATTTCTTAGCAATTTCACAGGAATAAAGGGTAGACATTTAGTTATACAGTTTATGCCATTGTTCCATTAGAAGCTAAATGAGAGGAGTGAGGATACAGTGACATCAGTTGTTAAGGCCTGTACATTATTCATTTAACATCTGCTGTTGGTTCTTTTTTCCCTATGGGGGAATAAATTACAACACACCAGCACATTTTTCATGCTTTGTATTTAAGCATTTAAAAGTCATTTATTGTATTATTAATATTATTTTATTTCTACTTATTTGGCAGCACCTGAAGTTATCAATGCCCACGACTACAGCCAGCAATGTGACATTTGGAGCGTAGGTGTCATAATGTACATTTTGTAAGTAGTCTGCTAAATGTACAGTGGAAAATGAATGGATAGTTGCTAATACTAGAAAGACATGGATTTTAGATTAAAACTAAGTAATATATTTTTTAAAGTGATTTAAAAACCAACTGGGAAGTCATTCTAGAGTTCTGTTATTAGTTGTCAGATTCATCCCTTAGGTATTTTTAATACTATAAATTTATAGCTTCAGCTTTGCTTTTCATTGATCTATAAATGCAACAATATACTGTATGGTCAGAGCAAAGTGAAAAACTGTCCTTAGCACCTTCCTGATTCTTTGTTACAATCTAAAAGCTCCTTTGTATTTTCCCATGATATTCATTTGTAGCCCATCAGGTACTGCCACCTGGCCCTACAGCTGCCCATATTAACAGGACACATGTGGGGAGTAGGCACTAACTAGAGAGGGGCTTATTCAGGGTCTGGGGAGTGTTTTCTACTTCCCAGTTCTCTTAATGCTACTAAAAACCACAGCAATTCTTGTTTTTCCTTCTCTTTCACTCTTATGATCAATCAAATCCCAAGTCTTGTACATTTTTTCCTTTGAAATGTTCTGACCTATTCTTTCATTTCTCTTTGTAAACCTTTTCTAAACTATTCCATGGTCTTTTTGACTATTCTCCCTGTCTCTGGTTACCCTCCCCAGCTCATTGTTTACAGTGCTGTCAGGGTTACCTTTCTAAATCACAAATCTGATCATACTACTTCTTGAATAATTACTTTTTCTTACAGAAAACTATCGGAGGAATCCAGCATGGCACAGCTTAGCTTTCATGACCTGACTCTAATGTGACTTACCAGCCTTGGGCTAGGTGTGTCTTTCTGTATACCTTACTTCATTCTGTGACAACCCTAGGCCACTCCACTCTTCATTATCCAGACATACCCTGAATTGCATGCTATTGGTGTGTGTGCGCGCGCGTGTGCACGTGTGCATGTGTGTGCACTTTTGTGCTCTACAAACCTCCTTCCTGGGTGGACCCAACTCAAATATTAAAGCTTTTTATTTGCCTAACTCCTGTCCTACCTCAGCAGAGTTACTACATTTACTATATATTTGCCTTCCTACATTCCACGCAGGATTTAAGGCATCATAGAAAAATGCATGGAAAACAGTCATATTTAAATAAAAATGATAACATGGGAATATTTAGTCAGGAAGGTCTGCATATGTTCAGACTTTGATGTGTGAATGATAACACATTGTAAAATGAGTTTATGTTATACTATTATAATAGTATATATACTATGTCTAGTTTCCTATTCTAAGTTCCTGCAAAACAGATATCTTAGGTTATTCACCTTTGCATCCCTGGTATTTGATACACTAATAGGTGGATATTCAGTGCTCAGTAGGTTTGTTAAATTGAATTAAGTGAATTGCCTAAGAAGCATTCTGAAAAGTTAGTGACCATTGTTCTGCCTCTTGGTAAATATGAATATTTTTATGTTGATGCAACATTGGTTTTATGGTTATATTGAAGATTTCATGATGCACTACCTCATATCATTGGTTTCTAAATATTGACATCATAGTACTTAAATTTTCACAGTTCTGTGAAATGGAATACACAGGCAGTAGAAATTGGATGATGTGATTGTTGCTGTAACTCAACTGGTCAACATACATCATTGCTTAGATAGCATAAAATATAAATGTAGTCACAATATTTTTTATCATTGTTTTTTGCTGATTAGAATCACAGTACAAAAATTCTGAGTATCCATCTTTAAAATAACTCTGGAACTGCTCTTTTATATTTGTAAGACTTTATAGACAATACAAGTCTAATATAATATATATAATCAAATATTGCAAAATTCATGTGGTATTTGATGTCATCTTAGTTTGAATATGGTGTTAAGGAAAGTAAGTGAATTACAACTTTAAAATCTTTCTCTTAAAGATGTAATTCAAATTTTTCTGCTCCATAGTGTGTGGTTCCATATCATGATAACGGCATCTCCTTTTCTTTACAGTAGACTGTTAACTTAGCTAATCAGTGTGTATTCATTTATCTATCTGAGCCCAGTGGTGTTATAGATAATTTCCTTCACCAAGAGCACAAGCATATTACTTTCTCTAGGGGGGCTATTTTCTTGTTTATCAGTTATGTTGAATTCATTTCTACTTAATTGGACAGTGATAATATACTTTCTCAAGGTGAAATTAAAATAAATAAATATTCTTTATGGTTACTGTCCTCTGCTGTTTAGATTCCTATGCATGTATCAGAAAATAATAGGAAAGTTTTAAGAGGTATTTTTCATGTCTTGGATTCCTTTTCCTGGATGTGAGAGAAAATTGCTGTCATAAAATTCTGTATTCTGCTGATTGACCAACCATTAGATACATTTTGTGTAAATAAAATTGCAAAGGACAGAAAAAAAAGTGGAATTTAAAAATATAGCCCTTAAGCTATAGTTGCATGATCATCAGGCAATGCAGGGGCAGCTAAGAAATTGGTAGATGTGCATATCACTGGTTGATAACAGGCTCAATGAGCTGGGCTTTTGCTGGACTGCACTTTTTATAATAGATAGTAATTGTTCATAAGGCCATTTTTCTAGCTTTTTGTTTTCTATGGCTTTTTAAATTGCAGTTTTAAACTAAGCATTGGGAATGTAAGATGAGAGAAGGGAATATCAGAATGTGCTGGAGAAATAAAAAGTGTTAAGAGTTTGCTTAACAATTTGATAAATAATGATCTCCTCATAAGAACCTATGGGTAAATGAAAAACTTTGTTGTCCAGCCTACTTTGATGAACCGCTAGGATGAAAGTAACTTTATTCCCTGGGAAATCATCATCATCATCATCATGACCATGAAAAATTATTTATGAAATGTTGACTTATTGAGAAAATGTTCCTGAGTTAGGTTTTTAGACAACGTGAAAAATATAACTAAGGAAAATCAATAAAAAATATGTTAAAACAGTTGGAAGTCATCATACTAAGAATAGACAGCAGATTAGGAAGTGGAATGGAATTATGCCACTTCATTCTTTTAATAATAGAGTGCAAAAGTATCCCAAGAGTTGAAGAGTAGACATATAGGGTTGCCTCTGTGATGAGTCCAGCTCCAGCTTCTGTCTGGTTGGGTGCCCTCAGATATGGAGGTTAACAATGATGATGATGGGGTTAACATCTACTGAGAATTTAACTCAGCTTTTAAGCATATTCTTGTAGTTTGGGCTTAGATCACTTGTTGAGGCACTAGTTTCATAGGCTTGCCATGTTCTGTTAAAATATAGGTAGCGTCTTATTACAGAATTACAAACAGGCCCGTTTATACACACTGGTCATAGTTTTTTGTTTTTTTGAGGTTTTTTTGGTGCTGGGGATCGAACTTGGGTCCTTGCGCTTGTGCCCACTGCTCATAGTTTTGTTGATATTGGTTGTGTGTATTCTCAGCTTTCACCCTTTTGGACGGAGGGATCAAATCATCATCTCACTTTCCTTATCCTAACTTTCATTTTGTATACCGCTGTTAAAAGGTTGATGCCACTTTAATGGTTTTTTGGCTTTCACTCAAAGCATATAGAAATTTCCAGGGTTATTCTTATTTTGTTTTTATGATTAGTTACATTTATGTAGAATTTTACCATGGATAAAAGTCTCATGTGGTCATTTGAGTCTGATAATTCTCATTAGACTCTGACAACTCTTACATGTTTCCATAATTCTTTTTTTTTGGATTAAATTCTTTTATTGGTACATTGTAGGTATGCAACACAATTACATTTCTCATTGGGAATTGTACCTTTATATAATGCATCTTGGTTCTTATTTTTTCCCCATTCCTA